ATTGTATCTGTAATCTATTTCTCTTCTTATATGTTACACCTGGTTATACCAGGTAGTCCATGAATAAATAGACGATTAAAAAACAATTCTATTTCTCCAGTCTACTTCATTTAATTGGGCTGATGTATTCTTTTCACAGTGATAGAGAATTCTTCAATGTTTTTATTCACAAGGAAACTGTCAAATAGACAACGTATAGAACTACCACTACTGGTGATCTCAGCCGTTCTTAAGACTGTGCTTATAAAATTTCTATCATATGTACGTCAACAAGAACAGTCTAGTCTCGATCATTTGAATTGAAGAAGAGTTATAATGTACAATACATTCTTTCATTATGAGTTGTATAACTGAAGAACAGAAGAAATTTATGATTTCATAAATCTAGCATTTTTGTAAAATAGCTGTATTAAGTGACTCACAATGAGAAAGATTGCCATAGATGATAACTTCTCTTCAACTCAAACGATCGAGAGCCAACTGGTCTCATTGACCAAAATTTCTAATGTAGTACATATGCTACAAATTTCAGATTTCCAATTCTAAGAATGACTGAGATGGTAGGTTAAAATCCATTTATTCAATAGTGCTTCGTATGAAATATATTGAAGATTTACATGATGATATTGATCATTTCTATGAGATGCACTCTCAAGTCAAGAGTTAAGTACTTCTATCTTTTCTAATCTTAATTTAGATGAAGCAGTGTGTTTTCCAGTCTGAAGCCGAAAGAGCGGCATTTCTCCAAAGATCGAGTCGGTCCTTCCGAAGTTTATGATTATTATGCCATATACTCTGTGTCTATACTACCAAACATAAGTTTTCGCCCTCCTGGAGTTTTAAGAGCCCAAAAAAAAGTCAATTTTGGTCAAAATTATCGATTTTGTGATTTATAATTCATTAGATAGAGCAATGTATCTACTCTCGAATGCACTACAGTTTATTGATTTTATGATGAGATTTAAGAATATTACATAGATTTTTCTGAACCTTCACACAGAAGAAAATAGCGTTTTTTTTTCTAAAAACTTTTGATTTTTACGTTTTCGTTCGCCCCAGATTTCTCCGTCATTTTAAATGTTAGAAAGCTGGATTTAGTGTCAAAATGAAGACAAAAACTAGCTCTACAACTGAACATAGCCAGATTTTCCAATTTCCTCATTAATATTTATAAAAAAATCTAACCGTTCTGGACCTACACCCTCTGAATTTTCTGTATTTCATCAGAGGAGTTTTCTACAAACACACGTTACGAAAAAAATCGAAAAATTGGTTTCTTTTAAATTGTAGCACCATCCCTTGGCTACATATTAAAACCAAACCAACCTTTCTAGCATTTGAAATGGCGAAGAAATTTGGAACGCACGGAAACTGAGATTTTGATCCATAATCTTAAGTTAACTATTGTTAGACTTAATGTATCGAGTTGAAATTTTTACTATGAGGTGTCTACCTCAGAATACACACCTCCACTGAAAATTTCATCAAGATTGAATGCTTGAAAAAAAATGATGAGAGATCCTCCCCCCCTCCCCCTTAAATCGTTCCTTCAGTAAACAAAATCTGAATAAAACATTGAAATGAAAGATAATTTATGTTATAAATATTGCTATAAACTTTTGAATAATCATAGAGAAATTCTTTTCTAGGAAAATGATGTTAATACTTCATCTCAACAAACAACATCCGAAACAGAACTTCAATCTGAAAGTAAAAAACGCAAACGTGAATCTTCAATTGTTCTTTCTTCAATTCCATCAAATAAAGTAAAATATGAACAACATCTTTTGTTTTTTTATCTTTCTCTTTATTATTATTTAGATTGTTATTGCTACAACCGCTTTACTTGATGATCAATGGGTAAATAAAAAATTCAAAAAAAAAGAAAACATTTTTTTTTATAATTATTTTTATAGAATGATGTTCTTTCATTTCTTCGTCAATTTCCTCAAGTACAATTATCGACAAATTTAAATGTTAATAATTCAACAACACATTTACTTGTTGATGATAGTGAAAATAATTTACATTGTACAATAACAAAAAAAATTGTTCAAGCAGCTGTACGTCATCATATATTTATAATATCATCACGTTGGTTAAATGAATGTATGCGTTTAAATAAATTTGTTGATGAACATTCATATGAAATTATAAGTGATTCTCATACAACACTTCGTTTATCTGAACAAAATTTAAATCTAACAAATAAACATTTATTTTGTCAAAATTCACAATATTTATATGCATTTGCTATTGAATGTCGTCAATGTCAAGGTTCAATAAATCGTAGTGAATTAATTGAATTAATACAATTAACAGGTGCACAATTATTTCAAAATGAACAAGCTGTCGATGTATTAATTATTTTATGTGATACAAATGATAAAAATATAAATAAAATCAAGGAAAAATATACGAATGCACCAGCATCAAATATTAAGTATGTAACAAGTGATTTTTTACTTAAATCAATTATTAAATTTGAAATACAAGATATTGACAAATATTCTTTATAAAAAAAAATCGATGAACATATTATTATTACTTATCATTGTCTTTTTGTTTTCTGTGTATCCTCCTCTGTCTCTCTCTTTTTTTTTCTTCGTTTTTTTTGTACGTATTGGTTTTGTTTGTACGTGAAAAAAAACTTAAAATAGAAACTCTGTTGTGAAGTGTTAATGTGTATGCGAATAAATCATTTATGATTGTTTCTTTTTTTTTGCTCTTGCTCATAGCGATCAAATATATATACATATTATTTAGATATTAGAAAATGATATAAAATGCAAGAAGACAACGATTGTTAATGAGTATTTGATAAACGAAAAGTATGTTCTTTTCTTTTGGAGGAGATATTAGAAGTACTGGTTGTTTTTTTGTTTTATAGAACGTAACAAATTGGTAGTAGTCGGGTTAATATTCAAAGCTTGACGAAACTGGGAACGAGAATTAAATTCGAATGTTTTACGGCTTTTTTTTTGAAGTAATATCCTAATTATGATGTCAATCAGAGCAAACAATATTGGATTTGTTGACAGATATGAACAACTTCGGTTTTATGTATCATTTTAACATCGTATAGCCCTTGTTATATTTTTCAAATCCCATTCCAAGTCAGTTTCAATTGAAAATACAGCTTTTTATTGTAAAATTGACTTCAGTTTTAACTTTAAAAGTCATACTTTCTCTGATCTTATTTTGAAAAGATGAATCTTGTTAAGTTTACTTTTTGTAATTAATATTTTCACTGTTAATTTTTCTCATTTTTACGTAATAATTTAATCGACTTCGAATTCGAGTTGAAATCATCTATTTGCATTTGTAGAATAAATCGAATAAAGGATAAGATCAACAACAGACTAGATTAACTGAAACTCAAACAATGAGAAAAGAAAACTCGAAATATTTTTCAAAACAAGTTATATTAAAAAACTGTTAGATTTGATCCACATATTCCACATAATGATATTTGCGAAAATATATTCTAGTTTTTTTTCATTTCATCTCCATCACATAAATTTAATTTTGTTGCCTTCATGGTAGTATGAGTGATCATTTGAGTAAGTTTCTCCTTGTTCTTTCTCTTTCTATATCATGATTATATGAAAGATAATTCTATTGAAAATAACTAATTAAATTCAGTAAAACTTTTTTCCAACATTGTATGGATAATAACATGTAAGCTCAATTAACTCTTTAACTGCAGGTTTCTTTTTTTCAAGATATGCAAAAATTGTGATTCTTTTTTTAAATAAAAGCCTAAAATGTATCCTATACATCAAGAGAAAAAGTGAATTTTGTCAAGACTCATCGAACTATATAAGATTCTTCAATTGTGCAGTTAAAGTAGAATAGTGCAAAATTTTATAGAATTTCATAAAATTTAACATCTCATAATCTGTAATATTAGAGCTTTAGTAGTAATAGCTACTCCATCGAACAATAATAGTTCTGAGATTTCACGGAGTTTTGTTTAGCTTCGTATTGTTCTAAAAGACTTTGAATGTAGAGATCTAATAGATTCTCGAGTATGTCTAGATCTAAAATTCCTTGTTTATCTTTGATATACCTGTATAATGGAACCATACGTTGAGACTATATGATGCTATTAATTTAAGAAGAAGAGAAAGAATACTGTTATGACCTAGCGAAGATAGATGATAGTACTAGGTAGAGTCTGCCAAAAAGCTCAACATGTATATTAACATTTCCCATCACCAAAAGGCGAAGAAAATGAATGATTCAAATGATCTATTAATAGACACCTGTGTCAAATAATATCTTTCATATATAATAATTTTATTTCTATTATAAAACTGACAAGCGTTAATTTGTCTTGACATCAATGCTATTTGTCATGATTATTATCTATCTCTTTCACGTATATACGTAACAATTCCGAGGTGTAGCTCTATCACTACTCTTAATGATTGTTTATTGAGCTATGTCATCACACTCCAGTCATATCTATATTTAGTACAAACACATGCATATATATTCGTCACACAAGAGAAGAAAAAGACAAACACAGTTCGTCGGTCCAATAATATGAAGAAGTTATATTGAGAAAGGACGAGAAGAATAGTGAAGCGTAACGGTCAATGACCTGTATAATATAATAGATATTCGACCATTATTATGACTATTATGCACTAACTGAATGCTGATAGCAATCATCTTCCATCGATATTGGAATATTGAATAAAAATGTCAGCACACTATAGAGCCCGCTCGTTTTTTGTTTTCATTTTATAAAAGACAAAATTTAACTTGTATATTTGGCATTAACAAATATCCAAATTAGTTTTTTCGTATTTTTACAGTTTCACATAATTTTCTCGATAAGTTTTTTTTTAAATTTTCTTTAAAATGAACGTAAGTTTTTTTTTGACAGAGAAAATAAACCATTGATAAGCAGTGTAAATCGTAAATTGAATAATTTAATATTAAATTTTATCATTATGTTTTTTTTAAATAGTTTATTTTAGATCATAGTGATGATAGAAACTGATGATGATGATGAACCTATATTTCGTATACGATATATTAAAGATGAAACAATAAAAAATAAAGGTGGTTATTGGGAACAATATAATACATATAAGAAATCGTGGTTTCGTCTTTGTGATGAATGTTTACAAAAAGTTCGTCATCCATCCCAATCATTATGTATACGTCATTTTAATCAAGAAAATAAATCAAAGAAAAAAACAATATTCAAATCAAAAAATCCGAAGAAAAAATTAAAACGTTTAGATGTTAAAGTTAAAACAAAGAATAATAAACGAAAACGTCCATTACAAACGACGATTGATAATAAAGTATGATTTTAAGATCTTGTTTTTTTTTCTTTTGAAGTCAATCGTAATATTTAATTTTACTGCTTTAGGCAGAACAAATTACTAATGATGAAAATGAAGAATCAAATGAATCACTCGAAATCGTCATTTCTGTTTCATCATCATTGAATAAAAAACAAATTGTATGTATTTATATGAAAAAAAATTATTTAAAAAATAAATTTTACATTTGATTAATCATTTTTTTTGGAGGTTAAGATAGAAGATCGAAATTATTTTTCCTTGATATTAGTATTACTAAAAATAGTTTTAGCAAACATCAAACTTATCGATCGAGACGAAAAAAACAATAGAACAAACTAAAATACTGGTGTCGAACATGTCCTAAACGCGTTCTTTTACTGTTCGTCTCGACCTGGGTTATAAGGTTTATTTTTCTGGTTAACTATGTGAATTTTTAAGGTTATATTGGGCTCTCTGTGTTTATTATGAACATTAAAAAAAAAAGATTCATTTAAAATGGACAATAATAATAAAAAAAAATCAAATGTAAAATTGGAGTTTGCACAATGAATACTCTTGCACAGATTACCTGACATGCTTCGAGAATTACTGCGTAATTTCTTAAATTTATTTCTACTACTTGATCGGTTATATAAATAGTTGCATATGAGGTGTGAATAGCACATTTCGCATCTACACATGATAAGATGTTTAGTAAATAAAATAATAGTGTTAAGATTGCTAACATATGAATGAACATTGTTTATGAAAATTGATATTTATGTTATAGGAGAAAGAAAAATGAACTATTCCAGTTGTGGTGTGTATAACGCACAATGATAGTTTCTTTTATAATCATCGAATTTCCATCGAAAGATTAAACTCTGGATTGAATTTGTTTTTTTTCTCGTTTTCTAACACTGATAGAAGCTTTAGTAACTATATAACTATTCATTTTTCTTTCTCCTATGACATAAATACCAATTTTCATAGTCAACGTTCATTCATATATTAACAATTTTAACATTATTATTTTGTTTAGTGAATATCTCATCATGTGTAGATGCAAGACATGTTACTTGCACCTATTGTACTACTACTACTTGTATAATCGGCCGAGTAGTAGAAATAAATTTAAGAAATTACGCAGTAATTCTCGAAGCATATCAAGTAATATGTGCAAGAATATTCATTGTGTGAACTCTAACATTATATTTAATTTCTTTATTATCATTGTTCATTATAAGCGAGTATTATATTTAAGTTAAAAATCGATGAACAATAATGATCTTTTAAAATTTTAATTTTAATTTGTTAGAATCATTTATTTCACATTGAAAACATGTGATAATACATATACATATACATATATACACTTATTTGAATTCTTTTATACTAGATCGAATCAATTGAATCAACTCAACATAGGTAGTCTAATTTGAACTTTAGATTAGCTTTCCCACAATCACTTGTTCATAGAGAATTATTATCTTTACATTTCACAGATCCATTACTAACACTTTAACAAGATACTCTGTAATTATACATTACAGAATATCTTTAGTTTCCTTAGATATTTCTGTACACTCAATACATATAAATATGTATAAATTTAGTACACAAAAACAGTAATTAAATTGATAGAATAGTTTTAATTACTTCATCAAATATGTTTGATAGTGTTTGTCATTTTTGAATTTCTTGATATTTTGCGTAGAAGGAGTGACTCATTATGACTATTCTACTAATCTTAACTAATGATTGAACCAGAATTAAAAAGAGGTGAGTGAAGCTCAATAACTCGACAATGGCAACAGATAGTGACCTGCCGTCTTCAGTAATCAGAAGAGAGGAATTCCAAATTTTCTTTTTGTCTGATGTTGTACTAGATAAAATTATTTTACAAGCCATTATCATCCCAGAACATTCAAAGGTATTTCATTTCAAAAAAATTTTGCTAAAAATCAATTGTTACGGTGTATTCAAACTACATACACCTCGATCCTATCCTATCGATTCTCTTTTCATTGGCATTTTCGTTTCTGTTATTTCGTTTCTATGGCTTTTCTTTGCTCCTGATTAACTTTTGTATTCTTTTCTATTTTGATCTTGTTTTTCATATGCGTATATAAACGTATGTTTTTCCGAAAGGAAAAAGAGAGAGAAGAAAACACATTTTAACTGTGTTCATCGCTCTTCGTGAGTGTGAACTCTAACACCAACAGAATTCGATGTAATTTGACCGAATAGATATGCAATTGTGTTTGTTCAACACCGAAATACGAGAAGATAATCATCTGAATCATGTCTTAAATTACAGATCTGAAGCATATATCAACATCAAAATTACATCGACACAGAACACTATGTTCATGCATTGTTTTTGAATGTTTTGTAAAGATGATCGGTTTTAAAATAATTTTTATTTTATAAAATATTAGACAAAAAGATGTCCTGAGTCCTCCTCATTCGATTATTGAAAAGTCCGGGTAGAGTTCATCGGATTCGGATCCGGAACTAACTCAACGGGCTCTAATTACAGGTTGCTACATGTTGCCAATGGCGAGTTATTAAACTTACACTCATTTCTCTTTAATTCGGGCGTGGACCTTAGTAGCTATTCTTATGATATGACGATGAAGTTAATGAGTTGGTTATAAAACATAAGATAATATACGTCTCATTGATTGAGAAGATCAGGTATTATACCGGGTGGCCTAAAAGTAAGGAAAAATAGTCGTTTTTTTTTCGATTTCTATCTTATAGATTGTTGCTTACGCCTGATATTTATACCACATATACTAGGTGTGATAAATAAAAGATTGGGCATATGAACGATATGTAAATGTAGTAAATAATCTAAAAGCGTTCAAATACAGAACGATTAACAAGAAGAAAAAAACTTGTGAATTTCAATAAAACTTTTATTAGAAGTTCCAACTAAGAAAAAAACACGTGCAAAAGTATGTCTTTGTGGATTGTTCTTATTATGAAGTTCTTCAGAGGAATTGTTCAATATGTTTACCACCTAAGTCTTTGCAAAGTTCCAGTCTCTCAGATACTGAGTAGCAAGCGCTTTGACAAAATTTCACCGGTAAACTTCGTATTTCAGTGAGTATAGCATCTTTTAGTGCTTGAAGACTTTGAGGTTTCGTCGCGTATACATGCTCCTTGATGACAGCCCATTAAAAAAAGTCAGTTGGTGTGAGGTCTGGAGATCGTGGCGGCCAGTCGATCCATCGACGTCGACCAATCCACCTATCAGGAAATGTTTTGTCCAGAAAGTGCCGGACAGATTGAGCGTAATGAGCCGGTGCTCCGTCGTGCATATAGACTACCTCTTCTAAATCCATTTCATTTGCAATAGAGGGTACAATATCTTTTTAGAGCATCTCGAGATAGCTGTCTGCAGTAACGTTGTCATAAAAGAAGAACGACCCGATGATACCTCCAACCCAAATTCCAGCCCACACAGTGATGCCTGGAGTATTCATTTCTTGAGTAATGATAACATGGGGATTTTCTACAGCATAGTAAACGCAATTGTGCCGATTGACATGACCACTCAACTTGAAAATAGCTTCATCAGTCCAAACAACTCGATCAAGCAAGGAAGAGTCGTCAGCTAACAAGTCGAGAAAGATCACAGCAAATTCACAACGTCTGCCAGGATCATCTTCATCTAAAGCATGCAGCAATTGCGGACGAAATGGCTTCAATCCCAGTTCTTTCATCATTCGTTGAAGACTACTTCTAGACAGATTCAGTTCCAAAGAAGTTCTTCTTGTTGAAGTTGGAGGACTTTCTTCAAAAGCAGTACGGACACGTTCTTTGTTCTCGTCGGTGCTAACAGATCTAGGACGACCAGATCGCAGTCTATCTTCGAGGCTTCCAGTTTCGTCAAACTTTCGTACAAGACTCAAAATATTCTTTGATGTTGGAGGAGTACGATCAAAACGATTTTGAAATTGACGAGCAACTTCAGCTGCATTTTGGTGAATGGCGTACCATTTCACAATTTCAGTTTTTTCACGTAATGACAAACGAAAACTTTTACTCATGGTAAAGAAAATGTGAAAAAAGTTAGAGTTATACAAACAACAGAAAATGTAAAGAGAAACAAAAAATAAACCAGTCGATAAAAGAGATAACCATTAGTATTGTTGTCTTCTAGATGCTACTCTTCACACATATAAGTACTATAAGAGAACAAACAATAATATTCGCTTTCTTTTTTTTACATACACTATATTTGTATGCTCTTGGATCAATTACTACATCTACATATCGTTCATATGCTCAATCTTTTATTTATCACACCTAGTATATGTGGTATAAATATCAGGCGTAAGCAACAATCTATAAGATAGAAATCGAAAAAAAAAGACTATTTTTCCTTACTTTTGGGCCACCCGGTGCATACACTAGTTTTATCATTATGATTTGAAATGAAATCATCTTTTTTTATAAATATGTGTAAAAGATAAATATCAATTATTTTTCTTTCCAGTCGAAAGTGAAAGAATTTATTACAAAATTTCATAATGAATCTCAATCAATTCATTTAACATGTGAATCTCAACCTGATTATATCGATGATACTACAACTCATCTTATTACTAATGATTGTGGTTCATTTACGACACCATTAACAAAACAAATTATTCAAGCATGTGTTCGTCATATATTTGTTGGTTCAATAAATTGGATTATATCATCACTTGAACAATCATCTATTGTTGATCAATTTTCATATGAAATTTTACGTGATAAAAAATCTTTTAAAAATTCTCGTGGTATAAAACAATGTCGTTTCGATCAATTACCTGTCTTTCCATCATCATGTACTATATCTGTTGAATGTCATAAAGGTATAAGACAAATGAAAATGACTCGAGATGAATTAATCGAAATAGTTGAATTATCTGGTGCTACTTTATTAAATGAATATATACGATATAAAGCATTAATTATTTTATGTAATTCAAAAACGGAGATGATTAATAGAAAAAAACAAAATGTTCATGATTTATGCACGATAAATGAAAACATTATTTATTATTGTAAACCGGATTTTTTTTTGGATTCTATTGTAAGACATGAAGTACAAGCAATAAAAAAATATTTATGGTAATTTATTTGGACAAAATCGAATAAGGATAGTGAATCTTTTTAAATTATTTTCTTTATTACACATTTTTCATAGTCGTTAAATTGCTGTCAATAAATAAATATATATACTAGTTTGCAAATTGTTTTTTTTATTTTTCTTCGTCGTCTACTGATTTGACAAGAATGACAACAATATCGGTGGATTTAGTTGATTATTAAAAAATAGTACTATAGACACAAGTTATGATATTATGGAGAAAATCTTGGCATCTAATTAACGAATTCTAACCAAACTAGGAGTAATAAATAATGTTTGACTTGCTTATGACAATAATCTCTAAAAGAAAATTTTTCTCGTAAAAACAATGGAGAGTCTTAAATCAGATGAGTACATCTATTTTTTTTGTCTCTTCGCGTTGTACTGTTTAATAGTTGTCGAATGAATGTTCTTGAGTAAGCAAAAAAAAGTTTCGTCACATCTATGAATAGAGCCTGATGAACTAAGACGAATCACAACTCTAAATTTTTTTCTAGATGCTACTTAAATATATTTCGGTAAGGAAGAGAAGAATCGATAATAAAAACGATTTATTGAATGATATATATTTCATATATTCTATTATTTGTTGAGCTACTAATGTATTTTCTCATCGTTTAAACGATTGTCTTATTCATATTTATGTTTGACTTACATGTTATACTAATGGAAAATTGTTTTTATTATTTTATTTTATATAAAAGTTCATCAAAATCTATTGTATTATCATTAATATCGCTTAGTACAATATTTCCCATTGATTGTTTAATTAAATTTACAAACATTTTTTTCTGGAATATGGTTCATCAAAAACTTATAATCAATAATATTAAAATATTTTTGGAGAATTTTCTCCATTATTTAAACTCAATAAACTATCTCTTCAACGTTTACAAAGAGATTTGGAATGCCAAAACGAAATTATTCATATCATCTTTGAGAAATTATATTTATATCTATTTGATTTTCGTTTAAATGTCGATAAAACAATTACAATTCTATTAATATTTAATCCATCAAATATAGAATATACTTCTCTATGAGATATGGAAGAATTAGACAGAATGACTGGTTGTCTTCAATATATAAATATATATATATAATGTTTGTATGGTTCATCTAATTGGTTTCAGATTTGAAGAATTTGTCAACAATGATATTGTCTTGTCAAATATAAATCAATTAATTGTGAGCTATTGTTTTGTTTTTTATCATTCGATATTTTGCCTAAAATTTATTGAAATGATTTTTTCAAAGATTGTTGAGTGATTTTGGTAAAAAATATACGTGAAATTATCTTGACAGTGAAAAATGAAAGAAATTTATTTGAATGACAAGATATACAAATAAAACACATGAAAGAAAATAAAAGTCAATGTCCAATTTTGATTGTATGATACTAAATATGCTAAAATGTGTGCCGATAAACTTGTTCGAAATAGATAAGTTTACCGAAACCAACAAATCTTCGTTTAGAACATTATCCAGTTGGTAGCATTCGATTGATAGATTAAACTTTATGTTGTTTACATGAGAACTTTTTTGGTATTGAATGAGTTCGTTGACAACTGTAATTTTCATTTATAAATATCTTTGGTTTGTATACGTTTGAAATTGAATAATTGGTATCTCCTTGATTTTTTGCTCAAGTCTTTGATTTGAATCATATTTTGCCGTTCATTGAATAATACTTTACAAATGAACATAATTATTGAATGCTGGGCTTATCATCATATGATTTATCGCTTTCTGTAAGTTTTCGGTATATTTTTTTAAAATCTATTTAACCAATGGTATTCAGGAAGTAAATCAATTAATTGAAGAATTTATAGTGAGTCTTAAAATTGATCATACAGATTTCATTTCGATTTTATTCTGTAACGGTAACAGACATAAAGAGAATCCAGATAGCGATTTCGATAGAAAGCTTGTTGTCAACAAAGATTTGAGGAAAATGAAATTCTCATTGTATTGCGAAAAATCCAAAACCTAGTTTTTCAACACTCAGAACTCCAAAATAATAGTTTCTTCGATTACACAGGATGATAGAGCGACTAGTTCTTTAAAAAAAAACAAAGAGATGTCTCCGAGCTCTTCATGACAGTTTTTGTCTGAACTACATCAATTTTAAGGAAAGCACAGAAGTAATTTTTTTGCTATTTCCTATGAGAAAAGATCACTTTAGTGCTTTTCTTAAGATTGATGCAGTTCAGTCAAAAACTGTCATGGAGACCTTTATGATCAATTTTTGAAGTCACTTTATATACTTCGAAGTATCCTCTATCTACTGGACATACATTCAGAATTCGTGTGTAAAATGGAACATTTTTGCTGTTTTTGATAAATGAGTTTCTAATCAAAAAAAGTGGAGAATCGCTTGCTGTTTCTCAAGTATAGAGCATCCGATCGAGTTGAATCTTTCATCTACTTACATTTGAATGTGTTTAGGGTGCCTACTTTTTTTTCTTTATTTCAAAATAAGATGCACCGATAGGTATTTTTTTACTATTCTTTACAAAAAAAGCTCTGGTTAGAACAAAAAAACATGCACTTTTGAGGGTCCTCTCAAAAGTTTGATGTTCTTATGATGAAAAAACAAAAAAAAAGTACGCAACTCAAACAATGCCTAGAATCTGTTAAGAAAAAAACACTATTTATTCATCAGATATTTTTTAGCTGAGAAAGAGGTGAAGAGAGGACATTTTTAGCTGTTGCAACCCTAAAAAGTTCTACAGAAAAGCATCAGGGAATGTTGAGTCTACTTATCGAGATTTATCTACCTTAAAGCTTTCAAAATTTTTTGATAAACCACTCTTCAAAAGCGTCTGAAACAGTGGTCCTCTTAAGGGGGAACCCACCTCTGAAAGTCGATTTTCTCTTGAGAAACTCGATATTTGAAAAAACATATATTCTAGTAGTCATGAGTTTCCTCTTTCAGAATATGTATAAATCATATAAGAACGAAGCATATTTTGCCAAATTTTGAGGCATCTATTGGAAGTCATAGTGAAAAATCGACTGTTGTGTTGATCTTTTTTCCTTAGTTACCGGTAATTGATATCGTTCCATCTTCTTTATCAGTAGTATAAAATCATCGACATATCAAGTAATCATGTTCTGACTGTTGCAATGAGAGAAAGAAGCTTCAAAATTAGGTTATTTTCTGTAAAGGTAGCGCCACAGTAAATTTAGATTTAGAAATCAGCTTAATTTTTTCTTGAAAACATCATCAACTACAAGAGCTTTTTACATACTTTTCAATGATATATAACATTCTCTAATTTCCTACACAGAAACATCATCAACTATTTGGCAATGTTATTATTCGTTTTTCTTAGCTTCACTATTTTATCGTTTACTGATCACTGCGGAACATTTTCCCAGTCCACTGTTTGACGTACGCTGCTAATATTTTTTTTATTCAAAAGATGAGACTTTTCTCTAGAAACTATAGGGACAGATTTTTAAAATATGTATCCATTGTTCAGATATATGAAAATCTTTGAAAGAGCTCAAAACAGTTTTCGCGATTCTCAGTTTGAAATGGTCACTACAGATCAACGAAAATGAATTTTAAAAAACTGTTCCTATAATTTCTAGATAAAAGATTTTTCTTCATTTTGAAACAAAGTTCAACATTTTTCACGCTATCGAGCATCGGGAAAATGTTCCGTGCCAGAAGCCCCATTTTTAGGAGTAAATTGAGTATAACTCATTAATGATCAAAAATTATTGGTTCAAATTTTTATCAAATACTAGTTACATTAGTTATTCTATTTCCTGAAATTTTCATCGAAATCTGTTGTACCGTTTAGAAGATAGATTTTAGAATGGGGGGTCCCCCTTAATCTTTGATCAATATGTATAGATTGAAAAAATAGACATAAAACAACAGATACATTATAATTTTTTCTTTCATAATAATTTACTTATATGTGTGACGGAATGAAATTTTATTTCATATATAAGATAATTAGTTACTAGACTTTACTATATAATGATTTTGAAATTTTTGAGACAATTATACAAGAAATAACAACTTGCAAGAATAGCTATACCAGTATTCCTTAAATATAGCCCATCAATATAAAGTACTCCTATAGAAATATAAGACAAATCCTTGGTTACAAAATACATCGTCTACCATTGCATAGCAATAGAATATGCAATCTTTACATCGTATATACAGACAATCATACAGTATTACGATAGATCTCATGTAATTGATAAAAACTTTGAAAAAACAAACAAAATAATATTGACATATGTTTTATTCTCGAGGTCACACTTTCTTGATTCGTATACACATTTCCATTTTTCTTTTCTATGTCTACATTTTTCTATAAAGAAATAACTCATATAGAAAACTATAACAAATGAGAAATAAGTATTTATTAAAAAATAATTAATTACATAACCAATCGTTTCGTTACAAATGAGTTATCACTCCCGACGAAAAAGAAAAACAAACATCTTAATGTAGAAGAAATAAATTCGTGTCATGTTTTGATTGTGTAATTTTCTAATTTTAGATGTCTCGATTAGAAATATTTCCTGATGAACTTTTTCTTAATTTATTTTCATATATTCCTCCAACTGATTTATATCATATATGGCATGGTCTTAATCGTCGTTTTCGTGCAATACTTCGTTCTGTTCGAATAAGTTTTGATTTAAATGAAAATACAGATGAAAATACTCGTGCATTAAATTATTTTTCTAAACAAATTGTTTTTATTCATTTACGTATATTATACAAATCATTAGATTTTAAACAATATCCTAATTTATGTTCATTAATTATTGATACAAAATTAACTAAAAAACAACTTGATTCAATTCAACCAATAAATTTACCTTGTCTTAAACGTTTAACATTTTCGAAATGGTCAAAAGATGAAGAAATACTTAATGAAATTATTTTTAATAGATATTCTTCTAATAAACAAAATTTTTCCTCGTTAAAAGTTTATCATTTACCTTCCATACCAAGTTATTTTATATCAAATACTTCTAATCTATCACATATTCAAACAATGATTTTTGATCGAGTAACACCATATGATATTGATTTAATATTATCTTTACAACCAATATTACGTCGTCTTAAAGTTACTATTGTACGATGGGTGCCGGATGAAACAATACCACAAATTTCTATTAATAATAAAAATTATCAACATAAACATTTAATTCATTTACATACAACAATGAATACATGTAATAAATTAGATGATTTATATCCATTATTATCACATATACCATGTTTACGTTATCTGTATATAGCTTGTGATAGTTTAACAATTAATGATTTTAAACAACTTGCTTTTGAATTACTTACCCGTTTACCATGTTTAGAACGTTTTAATTGTTCATTTAAACAAACATATATTGAAAATATAGAGAAATTACATTGTATGAGTCCATTATTTCGTCATATGAAATGCAGAAAAGTAGAATGGAGTGGTGGATGGCATTATTATTGTGTGACAACAAGAAATGCATAATAATTATAATTAACCGGTGGTTTAGATTTTTCTTTCTATTTTATATTTTTGCTTTGTTTTAATAATCAATTCATACGTATCAAATGGTGTTGATTAAAGAAACCGAAACTAAATAAAAAAAAAAAAAGTTTCTTAGTTGTTGAAAGAAATAATCAGATAATATCAATCAAGATTTCTATATGATGCTTGTCAATTCTCTATATAGTTGATCGATAATTCAACATCCAACAAATTTTGAACATTCATCTCTCAATGATATATATCAAATTAAAAATAAACATTTCGTTTTTATTAGAGTTTTTTTCACTACATGTGTAATGAATCTTTTTCGATGATATGAATAAATAGTCTTAAAATATAAAAATCAAGTTATTAATAATTTATGATCAGGCTTTACAACGCTGATTGTTTTCAACACTCTAAAAACTCAATTTATCGCCTGGTTTACATGAAAATTGTGTTTATTTATTCTAACTACTATTCAATGAAAAAAAACATGTAAGTCGTATCTGTTTTTCTACGACTATGTTCAATAATGAACAGAAAGAAATTATTCTGAGCTAACAGTAATATTTATAAGACTCTTTAAAAATAAATGTATTTTACTTTATTGAGAATAATTAATCATAGACAATGTGTAAGGAGAAAACAACTGTCAAGTATCGCTCACAAAACAAATACGATCATTTTTCTTTTCATAGACGCTTTTTATCTATAACAATACATGCTTTTCATTTGTTATATCGATAATCAAAAAAAGTCACTTGATAATGATTCGTACATCCGATAGATAGTACAAACATATCAAAAAAATATTGTCTCCAAAGATATGTACGCGGATACGATGCAAAAAAAATTATAGTTTTTGTTTTAAAGTTTAATGTTAAAAAATTGTACAGATTTTATAGGTTTATAAGTAATTCCATTACCAGAAAGTTCACCGGTAATATATGATCTTCGACAAGGTCATGTACATGTCTTCTATAATAGAAGAGGCTTGATTTCATTGATACCAGCAGTTGATTAAATACAATAAACATTTGCATAAAAGTGTTTTTTTCAATCAGAGTATATATTCAAGTATACATGCAAATAGTTTTTTTCGATTCTTCAATTAACAATAGTTAATAAATCAAATATGGAAAAGCCTGTTATAAACTGAAGTCATTGAAAAATCAATACGTGAAACTATAGTGCTAATGTGTATACGCAGGTGTCTATGTATGACATGTTATATTCGCAGTGATCGTATGTACAAGTTTTCTATGATCCGAATATCTTTGATGTGACTAGTTATTCTATAATTTCAGACAGTTCGTGACACTAAATATAAAATGGAATAGACCGATGTGATAACTACCGCTGGTATATTAACGGTTTACCACTGGTGTTTTTTGAAAGTCTTGTATCATGATGTATTGTGCTAACACGAGTGAATATTTTTGAAATCTGTTAAAACTAACAGAATTGAGTCGTTTTCGATGTACTCTGATAATATTGATGTGCCTAAGCCGCTTATACTAGCTACAGAGCTCAAATTCGATTCCAGTAACGAGATACATTGTTATTATAGATGGTATTGCAAACATTTTTATTTGTAAAATATGATTTGAAACTGTTTTCTTCTCGATTAATTTTGAACTCTTTATAAGAAATAATTCGAATTTAGATAGAGAACGCTCTATAATCATTTATAGGTGGAACCGAAAGTCATAAGTATCACCGTCGGTTCTTGCCAGTACCACGGTATACTAACGGTAGTACAAACAAACCTATTTCATGGAGAAACTCAGAATTTTTGTATTCCATTATAGATAAATGTCGGGCCAATTGTTTCAGCTTTATCTTAGTAACGATTAGGGTGTCGCATTAACATTAATAGCATTAGGGTTAATTAATGCTTAGGTGTTAGCATTAATTTAGCATTAATTTCAACGCTAATACATATATACAGTGTCAATTCTAGACTGCTACCTTGGTATACCAGCTTTAACTTTTTAAGGGTTACTTGGGGGTAGTGTTTATAACTTTTCAAGGGCTACTTGGGGGTAGTGTTTGTAATATTTTAAGGGCTACATGGGGGTAGTCTTTGTAACTTTTTTAGTGGTAATCGGGGGTGGTCTTAGTATCTTTTAAGAACTACTTGGCGGTGCTTTTTTAACTTTTTAAGGGGTACCTGAAGTAGCCTTTATAACTGTTTAAGGGCTACTTGGAGGTAGTCTTTGTAACTTTTTAAGGAGTACCTCAGGGCACTCTTTGTAATTTTTTAAGGAGTACTTCGGGGCACTCTTTCTAGCTTTTTAGGGGCTACTTGAGAGCGCTCTTTATAACTTTTGAAGAGTCACTTGGGAGTAGTCTTTGTAACTTTGTAAGGAGTACCAGGGGGGACTCTTTGTAACTTTTTAAGAGCTACCTGAGGTAGTCTTAGTATCTTTTTCAGAGCTACTTGGCAGTACTCTTTAAAACCTTTTAAAGAAGAATCTGAGGATGCT